ACTGTCTGCATAGTCTTGCCTTTTCCAGGGTGTCATGTGATTGGAGCTTCCCTGGTGACTCAGCTGGTAAAGAATCTGCCTGCAAGGCAGAAGACATGGTTTCAATCCCTCAGTTGGGAAGATCCCCTGGAGGAGGGCGTGGCAACCCACACCCGTATTCTTGTCTGGAGAATTCGACAGAGGAGCCTGGTGGCTACAGTCCATTGGTTGCAAAGAGTTGGACACGACTGAGCGACTAAGCACACACGTGTAATTGGAATCATACACCCATGTAGCCTGTTCAGATCGGTTTCTCTCACATAGTCATATGCTTTTTAAGTTTCCTCCATGTTTTTCATGGCTTGATAACTCTTTTTAGCATGAATAGTATTCCTTTGAGTGGATATACCACAGTTACAGATATTCATTTACCTAGTTAGGGATACCTTGATTGCTTTCAGTAGAGCTCTTTGCCTAGCTTTGGATCCCGAAGATTTTCTTTTTTTTCTAAAAGGTTAATTTTAAGTATTAAGCCCATGATCCATCTTGAGTTAATTGTTGTGAATGGTTGAAATTATTTTAAATGAAGTTAAATCACTGTCTTAGTCACATATTTGTACTGCCTTTAAACTGTTCATGAGCTGATGTCAAAGTATGATCAGTAGGTAGGCTTTTCACCCGAGGTTTGATGTAGCTACTAAAAGTAATTTAATGTAGAAGTCAATCAAATGGGAGTCCTAATTAATGTTTCAACCTTTGGTTGCCATTTTTTGAAAAAATTATTTGTAGTTTACACTGGGAAGTGCAACATGTAGAAGTGGTTCTGGGGATCAGTATTCTCTTTTACAGTATTACAGGAGTACATATAGAAACCATTAAAGATTAGGCTGTGGGAGTTACTCCTTTTACTTAGGAAGTTTATTAGAGAGCTTCTATTCAACCATTATCCTGAAGCTTTTGGAGCATCAGAGGAAATTTGAGAAGGGGTAACTGGCTCTGATATTAGACTTTTTGAGTTCAAATACTGATTCTGCCACTTAACTGGCTCCATAATTTGAGCTCTTTGTGCCTTAGTTTCCTTATTGTAAAATGGGTGTAGTACTTAACACCTCTTAACAGCTGTTGTGAAGCTATCACTCACTTGAAACAGTTTCTGATACATAGTGGGCACTCAATAAACTTTAGCAACCATTATCCCTAAATCATTGATTTTGTGTGAGGATGGGTGGGACCATCTTTTTTATTTGAAAATGGTGGGGACTGTCTTTTTTATATTAAGACTAACGTGGTACTATTAAGGTTTGACTGCAAAATTCAAATAGTTTATATCCCTTAAACAATACAAGAGAGAGTTTAAGCAAATTTTGTGCTTGTAATGGGGACACCCTTAGCCCCCTAATGTGGGAGTTCACACTCCTCTGCCAGGAGGTGTTTTCTGAAAAAAAAACTCCAAAGAGCACCACTCATTCACTTGTCCTAATTAGGTCCCTCCTAACATTTGTGTCCTTTCCAGGCTAGGCAGATCTCTCTCATTTATCCAGGATAACTGGATCCACAGCCTGTCAGTACTCTAAGCGTCTTTTCCCAGACACTTTGCTTTGTTGGAATCTCTTAAGAACCTGGTGTTTGAGGGGTGTGCCTTTCTCCAGACCAGTATGGTAACGCAGCTTGAGATGTCCCCATCTTGTAGCAACCATTCCAGAAAAAAAGTGTGGCTGGTTAATCCCCTAGCTTGTTTTTTCAGGATTGGAACTTGCCCTTAGTGGTATAATTGCTTGAAAACAGCTGCAGTTCTCAATTCTCAGTGGGCTACCATAAACATTTGTTTCAGTGCAATTTTGTTTGGCCAGTATTAGTATCTTAAAAGACACTGAAATTAGGAAAGGTTTATGATAGAGTAGAAATGGCCTAGCACCTATTATCTTCATTCATTCATTATCTGCCTGCCGTTTGTGACCCCTAGTTTATGCTGTTGTGATTTCTTCTGTCTGTAAAGCATATTTTGACTCTGTGTATCTTCAAGTTTATAGTTTTTCAATCTGATTTTTCATAACCACTCTTACCAAGATCCTCAATCCCACCGTGATAGAAGACAGCCCGTTCTCCTCTCCACCCCTAACCCCTTGAAGTGTTTGTTTAACTATTTATTGGCATTCACATTAGGTTGAAAATAGTTGAAATAGCAGTTTTATTCTCCTTTGTGGTAACATTTAAGAACTTAGGATGTATAGAAATATTATCATAGAATATTTTATACATAAAAATCTCAATAGTTTTGTTGGGAAGAAATGTTGTAACTAAACTAAAAATAAGCACAATGGAATTCATCTTTGAAGGAGAATGTGAAAACTAATTTCTGCTGTGTGACAGACAAAATATACCAGACAATTAATGAGATGATTTTATTCAAGCTGATGCAACAGGGAGAATGTTTATTAATGGGGAGTCTCTCAAAGAAGGAGAAAATGTGGAGTTTATAGAACTAGGAAGTCAGTAAGGAAGGGTGGAGGTGGGTCCTATCACCTGTGGTCAGCCCTTCCTTGGAACACAGAAGGTACAGTGCTTCTTAACCATGACTGCTTTCTGGGAGCACAAGGCTCAGGTCAGTTTTAACGTTGCCGGACGGAACAGGGTTACTGCTATTACTATGGTTACGTTTATAAATTGTGTGAGATACGCACCACAGAAGTTTCATTTATAACTTTAAAATCTATAGGATTCTTAATATTTCTGCACTAAAGGACTGGAACAGGGCAGCTTTGCCTTATAGGGCTGGAAGTCCTTCTAAACAAAGTGAGAGGAAGAACCCACTGCAGAGGGAGGGCGGAAGACCAGGGGCAGGCCAGCGGCCCCTAGTCAAAGTGGGACCCAGTAAAGTGACAGCGCTCCCTCCGAGACCGCTTCCCGTGGGGAGGGAAGGGGTGACAGATATGCGTTTGTCAGTGAGCCAGGCTAAAGGAGAGAATTCCATGGATTTTGTTAAAGGATGCATTTTAAAAGGACACCATCATGACCCATGTTAAATCAATGTGAAGCGAATTTATTTAACTAATTAAAGAACTAGCCAAATGTCACAACCATTTTAAAAGCCGATGAACTGTGAATTTATATAGAGAAGCAATATTGAAATGAGTTTACTGATGGAAGTAAAACTGGATTTTCCCACTACAGGGAGGGCTGCCCTTTCACCAGACAATTATGGGTATGTCCATAAACAAGAATTATTTGCATTGCTATTAGTTACCTACAATTTATGAAGGTGTAAAATAGTGTAAAGAATATGCCTGCCAATGCAGGAGACACAGATTGGATCCCAGGGTTGGCAAGAGCCCCTGGAGAAGGAAATGGCAACCCACTCCAATATTCTTGCCCGGAAGATCCCATGGACAGAGGAGTCTGGTGGGCTGCAGTCCATGGGGTCACAGAAGAGTCTGACATGACTTAGCAACTAAGCAACAACAACAAAACAGCTCAAAGGCAGTGGAAAGACCAAGCCCCATCGGATCAGGTAATTCCCAGAGGCCCCGTTATTCCATTGAAAGGCTATTCAGCAATCTCTCTTGGTCACACCACGGTCTTTAGTTTGTTCTAGCCATCCCTGCTCTATCGTAACTACATGCTTCCTCTAATATTCATCTGTCAGTTGTTTACCCATTTTTCTCCTTAAAAGCCATGTCTGATTTTTTTCCTTTCTTTCTGGTCTCCATCAGGTCAGAGGAGCCTGAGACATCCAGGATATATAAATTTATAACCAACTACAAATACAAATTAGTTTGCTTATGTTTGGATTGCTTTTACTTAATATCCTGTCTTTTTCTTGGGATGACATTTAAATTTTTTTAATTTAATGTTATGAAAATTAATGTTGAGAGTCACTTGGACAGCAAGGCGATCAAACCATTTAATCCTAAAGGAAATCAACCCGTGAATATTCATAGGAAGGACTGATGCTGAAGCTCCAGAACTTTGGCCACCTGATGAGAAGAGCCGACTCATTGGAAAAGACTGTGATGCTGGGAAAGATTGAGGGCAGGAGAAGAAGTGGGTGACAGCATGAGATGGTTGGATGGCATCATGGATTGAATGGACATGAGTTTAAGCAAGCTCTGGGAGATGGAGGACAGGGAAGCTGGCATACTGCAGTCCTGGGGTCCCAAAGAGTCAGACATGACTTAGAGACTGAATAACAACGTTATAAATGATTACCAAGGTTTCTTTATATTAAATAATTTTTAAGTTGGGAGTTAATCAGCAATAACCATAATAATTTGACTACATAGCATTCTAACGTTAGGTTTTCATCTGTAAATGGAAGGTGAAAGTTAATGAATTTGTGTTATGGGCCAAGTGGTTCTCAACCTAGACAATTTTGCCCCACCCCCAATCCCCGGGGCCTGCTACTGACATCTAATCAGTAGAGGCCAGAAATGCTGCTGAACTTCCTACAGTGCATAAGACAGCCCACCAAAGCAGAATTACCCAGTTCCTACTGTTAATCATGCCAATATGAAACCCTAATAGCCCATTGAAGAATGTTAGAAGAAAGCTGAAGTTTTTGCTATGATAAAACTAAAAATAATTTTATGGTCTTAAATCTACATGAAAAACATACATTTTGTTTTTATACATTAAAAATAATGTTATTACCAATTTTCCATATTAAAAAATTACACAGTATTACCTTTAACTTGAGAGACTAAATAAATAGATGCTTTTCCATTAGAAGAGGGTGAGACGAATTGAGAGTGGCATTGAAACACCTACATTAACATATGTAGAATAGATAGCTAGTAGGAAGTTGCTATATAACATGGCCTAGAGGGGTGTCTGGGGTAGGAGGTTCAAGAGGGAGCGGATATTTGTACACTTAAGATTGATTCACATTGTTGTACAGCAGAATACAACACAACTTTGTAAAGCAGTTATCCTCCAATTAAAAATAAATTTAAAAAAGAAACAGGTGCCTTTCCTTTGTAATGCATATAACACTTGCACTTTTAAAATTACTTTTCCTATTTTAGGTTTTACCGAAGGAACATCTTAGAGAGTCATCGCATTTCCAAGATTAACATTTACAATTTGGAGTTATTGACCTTCTTATAAGAAAGACTTTGGCCATCAAAATGAAAGCTTTCTTTGAAGTTTTAGAACAATTATACAAGAAGGTACTTCTTGGAGCCACACTTGAAAATGACAGCCATGATTACGTCTTTTATCTCTACCCAGCATTTTCAGATCAAGATTGTTCTGCAAGCACCTCCTCAGACTGCTCAAACGCCTGTGATGTTCAGGACAAGCAAGAGCCATCCTCTGTCAGCTTGCCTGCCTTGTCTGTAGCACCTGTGTGTTTGCAGAGACATTCTCAGATGAGCAGTACTCGAGAAATAACGCTCCTTCAGTTAACAGTGATCAGAGTGATGATAACCAGAATATTGTCTGTGGAAACTGAATTCCATGCAAAGGAGAAATACAGAGATATAATTAAAATTCTTTTAAAATCATCTGACATCGAATCTCAATTAGTAAGCCCATTTGCTTTTTGTGTTTTTTTTTTTTAAGGTCTAGATTTTTTAAACAAAAGTTTTAAAACATTCAGCAACAGTAGGTAAATTTATTTGTTTTCCTGTAGACCTGTATGTTCCAGAACTCGGAAAAATTGTTAACTCACATGGCAGCAAAGTGCCTTGCACTAATTCTGTATTTCCAACTGAAGGAAAAGGTAAGATAAGTAATCAAATGTTACTATTACTTTTATATGTTCTTTAAAATTGATCTCTGGCACTCAGTTTTTAATCAATAAAATATTTGCTTACATAATGTGTAAATCCACAAAAGTGTAAGAATAGAATAATATGTTGGTGACTTATTTCAAGGATTAGAGTCTTAAAAACATTATAAATCATTACAGATAAGATTCTCAACTCAAAACATAGACTGCAGGTCGCAGAGTCCATAACTGTTCAGATTCTCAAATAGGCCTCCTTGCTCCAAAAACAAAGCTTAGGAGCCCCTGCTTGAGACTAAGACCATTTTCATAGATTTAATATAAATTCTAAGAGTGGGCCTCAGCATAATGAAAAAATATGAACAAATTTATCAAATTTTTCTCTTATCTCTGAGTTAGTTAATATATATAAACATTTACTGACTTCTTTTAGCTGTAATTGCTTGTTCCTTTCTTAAAACAACATTCTTTCCTAAATTCAAAAAGGTGGTATGTACAATAGAAAATTTGGAAAAAGGGAAAATGTATAAAGACCAAAATAAAAATTTCATATCATTCCAGACACCAGAGATAATAACCACTGCTAATATTTCATGTTCCTTCTTGGTTTTTTATTTCTATGGCATATTAAATTTTTTTAACTTAAGGACTACTGGGATATTTATGTCCTTGTTTTGACAAATATTATACTTTTTTTTTTTTGGAACGAAGTAAACGGTGTTGTATAGAATTGTGTAAAATAGATAATTTGTAATGGCAAAGAAAATGTTATATTACAACTTACTACTTAAAAGTTTTTTTTCTCACTTATAGATAACATTGAGTAATTTCTGGATTTCTTTTTGCCAAAAAAATATTTCTGAATATTCTGAAAGTAATCAAGTAGTATACTGCCTGTGGATACTTACCTTTGTAATTAAAGAAATCTTTAAAGATACATCTTCACAAAAAACAGGTATGAACTGTGTTCCCCCATAAACAGTTGTCATTGTCTTGTTCCAAGGGAGCATTATATTTTTATGAGTAAAACTTATTTTACAACCTCTTGATTGTTTTGAAGTATGAAAAGCTAAAAAACCATGCCCCATAGTCTTTGACTGAGGATACCTTTTTAGAAAGAAAAATGTAAAACTTCACTATTACTGGGCTTCCCTGGTGACTCAGACGGTAAAGCGTCTGCCTACAATGTGGGAGACCTGGATTCAATCCCTGGGTCAGGAAGATCTCCTGACCCAGGAGACCTGGGTATTGTGACCCACTCCAGTATTCTTATCTGGAAAATCCCATGGACAGAGGAACCTGGTAAGCTACAGTCCATGGGGTCGCAAAGAGTTGGACAAGACCTAGTGACTTCACTTTCTTTTCACTATTATTAAAATTTGAAATTAAAGCTTTTCATTTTTATATGTCCTTTGCATAGTCTGATGTTACTGATATTTGTAAAATGGATATTAACCATGATTATTAGCTGTTGGCATGTTTATCTTCATTTGTTTGTGTTAGAGGTAAATAATCCAGTCCATTTTTTTGTCTTACAAAGTGATGATAATTTTAAAAATTGAATTGTAACATTGTGTTTTAAGAAAACTTTTTCCTGTTGCTTATAATTGCTATTTTTATAATTGCAGAAATTCTAAAACAGTTCCTGAATCCTTTTGACACTCTTTTTGAAGTCTTTTACAATTCCTTATTTTCTCAGCATTTTGAAAACCACCAAGATGCTTCTAAACTAATAAACAGTTTAATATGTTTCCTGGAATTGCTTGAACTTCTTATAGCCTCCAGAATCCATCTGAAGTTACATTTCACTTGCCAGAGGATTTTATTTTTGAAAGCTTCTTGTGTGTTTGATGTTATTAGCTGGCCTGTTCAGGCTTTTGTCAAAAGGAAGTTGATCATCGTCATCAAAAAGTGCCTTCTGTGCAAGGCGGGTGAAGACCTTTGTCAGGGATCTGTCCCTGCCTTCATGCCACCAGATAATCCTTTACATGTGGACCTGTTGGCTTTGGCCAGCGCTGTTCTGCAAGCTGTGGATTTGGGCTTGTTGAGGACGTTGTCTGTTGGTGGAAAACCTTCCTGCTTTGGAGGTGGTGAAGTCCTACCTGGGTATGAGCATGCCCCTGGTCCAGATCATGTGATTCTTAGAGCATTGAGTTTACTTATCATAAGATCCTTAGAAATCAAGTTTCAAAATTTTGCTTCGGCAAATGAAATGAAAGGTAACTTGCTGAATGCCTTTTGTATGTAAATAGTGGATAATTATTTATTGAAGTAAAATTATTCATAATTATCAAAGCTCAGGATTGTAATTTCACTAACTTAAGTTGTATCTTGTTCTAGTTATAATTTATTAAATTTTCTTCCAATAAAGATAAAAAGCTAGAATTGTCTTTTAAAAAGTTTAAAGTAAACGGTGTTGTATAGAATTGTGTAAAATAGATAATTTGTAATGGCAAAGAAAATGTTATATTACAACTTACTACTTAAAAGTTTTTTTTCTCACTTATAGATAACATTGAGTAATTTCTGGATTTCTTTTTGCCAAAAAAATATTTCTGAATATTCTGAAAGTAATCAAGTAGTATACTGCCTGTGGATACTTACCTTTGTAATTAAAGAAATCTTTAAAGATACATCTTCACAAAAAACAGGTATGAACTGTGTTCCCCCATAAACAGTTGTCATTGTCTTGTTCCAAGGGAGCATTATATTTTTATGAGTAAAACTTATTTTACAACCTCTGATTGTTTTGAAGTATGAAAAGCTAAAAAACCATGCCCCATAGTCTTTGATTGAGGATACCTTTTTAGAAAGAAAAATGTAAAACTTCACTATTACTGGGCTTCCCTGGTGACTCAGACGGTAAAGCGTCTGCCTACAATGTGGGAGACCTGGATTCAATCCCTGGGTCAGGAAGATCTCCTGACCCAGGAGACCTGGGTATTGTGACCCACTCCAGTATTCTTATCTGGAAAATCCCATGGACAGAGGAACCTGGTAAGCTACAGTCCATGGGGTCGCAAAGAGTTGGACAAGACCTAGTGACTTCACTTTCTTTTCACTATTATTAAAATTTGAAATTAAAGCTTTTCATTTTTATATGTCCTTTGCATAGTCTGATGTTACTGATATTTGTAAAATGGATATTAACCATGATTATTAGCTGTTGGCATGTTTATCTTCATTTGTTTGTGTTAGAGGTAAATAATCCAGTCCATTTTTTTGTCTTACAAAGTGATGATAATTTTAAAAATTGAATTGTAACATTGTGTTTTAAGAAAACTTTTTCCTGTTGCTTATAATTGCTATTTTTATAATTGCAGAAATTCTAAAACAGTTCCTGAATCCTTTTGACACTCTTTTTGAAGTCTTTTACAATTCCTTATTTTCTCAGCATTTTGAAAACCACCAAGATGCTTCTAAACTAATAAACAGTTTAATATGTTTCCTGGAATTGCTTGAACTTCTTATAGCCTCCAGAATCCATCTGAAGTTACATTTCACTTGCCAGAGGATTTTATTTTTGAAAGCTTCTTGTGTGTTTGATGTTATTAGCTGGCCTGTTCAGGCTTTTGTCAAAAGGAAGTTGATCATCGTCATCAAAAAGTGCCTTCTGTGCAAGGCGGGTGAAGACCTTTGTCAGGGATCTGTCCCTGCCTTCATGCCACCAGATAATCCTTTACATGTGGACCTGTTGGCTTTGGCCAGCGCTGTTCTGCAAGCTGTGGATTTGGGCTTGTTGAGGACGTTGTCTGTTGGTGGAAAACCTTCCTGCTTTGGAGGTGGTGAAGTCCTACCTGGGTATGAGCATGCCCCTGGTCCAGATCATGTGATTCTTAGAGCATTGAGTTTACTTATCATAAGATCCTTAGAAATCAAGTTTCAAAATTTTGCTTCGGCAAATGAAATGAAAGGTAACTTGCTGAATGCCTTTTGTATGTAAATAGTGGATAATTATTTATTGAAGTAAAATTATTCATAATTATCAAAGCTCAGGATTGTAATTTCACTAACTTAAGTTGTATCTTGTTCTAGTTATAATTTATTAAATTTTCTTCCAATAAAGATAAAAAGCTAGAATTGTCTTTTAAAAAGTTTCAGTTTTGTGTGCTAAACTGAATTTGCATAGCATAGTTAATAACTGTAGTTAAAAGAAAAAGATTGTTGAGTCTCTTCAAAGTAAGCAATGTTAGTCAGTTCACGTTCAGCTATTTGTAGTATATTATTCATATTTTCCTTCACAAAATTAGTATATCTACTATTACAGAGTTTTGATAATTAGGAGTTGAATTAAACTAATGTAGGGTGTAATCCTGTGCAGTTGTCATTTACAACACTAGATGGCATTCGTTACATAAGTCAAGAGTTTTAAATTGCAGTTAAAACACCTCAAAACCTTTTTGACTTCTGTGCTTAATAGTAGTACTTTCTTTTAATGCTTTAAAAAACTTTAAACAAACAAAAACTTTTTCTGCTGGTATTTTGAAAGCAAATTATTTTTGTTTGGTTGTATTGTTGCCTCTAGTACAAACACTGTGGCATCCAGTGAAGCAGTTTCTGTTGTCTACTATTTATTCATTTATATGTTTTTAGCAAGAATTCATGTAACTTTTATTTCTCAGAGATACTAGCTATGTGGAACTGTGATATAGATGATCTGGCTGTGCATTTTAACTATATCCTACCAAGTGGGTCTTTTTTTTCCCTCTTAAGTTCAGTTTCCTAATGTACAGAGTAGAGATAATCCCTAACTCAAACTTTTGAATATGTGAATTATGATAATGCATTTTAAAGTACTCTAGATGTTATAAATGTATGTGAATAGGTAAGTTGTTATAAATGCATTCATAAACTGTTGTTTTCTCTTTAAATTTTTCATTTTTTTTGAAGTTGATTTACAGAGGTTCATGTCTGAGTTACTGATCTTCTTAAAACCTCACCTTCAGCCCTCTCTGCAATCACACAATCTCTGTGAGTGGTTGTCTAGGGTCTTCATAGAACAAGACGATGACATGCTGGAGGCTGCCAAAGCATTGCTGGGCATCTATCTGAAGTTGACCAGGTTTGTATATTTTAAAGTAATTATACTAACTAACATGGCCAGGAAAGCAGAAAACATTTTTAATAATGTGTTGGACATACAATTTACTTTCCATCATTAGGGGGAAAAAATCCATAACAATCTTGTGGTTTCCTTATAAGTTCCAATTCCTTTTAGACTGCCCTACATGAAAATAGATTACATTTGAGTTCTCATTATGAAAACTTGGATGACTAAGCAGATCTAGGGATTAGAACTAACCTGAGATTAGACAATATGGATTCTGGCTGAGTCTCCATCTTTGCTTTACCTGTGTGATCAAGAATAAGTTAATACCATTGTCATAATTTAATTGACATTTGAAACTCTTTTCACCCTTAAGACTAACTTTGTCTGTATTGAACTTCTGTAAGGTGATTTTTGCCTTTGTAAAGCTGAATTCAAACTTGTAAGTAATCAAAGGAACTTGTAAATTTCCATTTTAATATATAGTTGAATTTGTACTGATATCATATTGAGGCAGATATCTGAAATTGATTATGAAGTTATATTACTGATGACATTTTATACTGATCCTATTTCTATTTATTGAAAGAGCTATACTTGGGTTATATCTTATGGCAAATATCTGTAATTGGTTATGAAGTTAATAACTGATGACCTTTTACAGTATTTCTGCTTCTGCTTTATTAAAACCGTAAAGTATTTGCTTTATTTCCATTTCTTTCTTGGCTTCACAGAAAGGGATTTCTTACTAATGGTTGCCGGTGTAGTGTTGTGCTGCCAGTTCTTACTTGTATTATGACACTTCTGGCAATGACTGCTTTCAGACTGTAAGTGTTTGAGGCCAATTTTCAAAAGGTTCTAATCAAGAACACAAAATGCAAGCATGTGATTTGAATTAGGCTCAGAAATGGTCAAATACAAATTCAGTCTGAATACACATGCCTTGAAGAATATATAGTCATATTCAAAGCTGACTTCTTACGACTCAGGAAAGAGGAAGCTTCTGAACTAAATTTATTTTGCATGTGAATTTCTAATTTTCTTGAATTTCATGTGATCACAGAGGCCTGTGCTCATGTCATATGTATTTTTTTAATGTAACTGAATTGGTTAAGATTGGTTGTAAATGATAGAAATCAATATAAACTAGTCTAAGCCAAAAAAGGAATTTACTTCCTGGGAATTCCAAGGAGTCAAGTTGGCATCAGGTCAAGGTGCATGACTTAAATCATGTCACTGATTATTTCTCTTTGTTTCTGTCTCATAGCTTTGAGTTCATTCTCAAGCAGGGCCACCAGCAGTGCCAGACTTACAGCAACCTTACAGATAAGATCTTTAATAGTGCCAGCAGAAATCCCAGAGGAGGTCTGATTAACCTGCATGGGTCACAGATTCATGGAATCATGGTGTCTAGGACCATGGGTACTCTGATTAGTTAGCCTGGAACACATGCCCATCCCTGTTGAGACGAGTGTGGAAGGAAAGGAAGGAGGTTAATTCCCACCTTACCATGTGGAATTAGTTACCTGTAGGAATAACAGCAGCAGCAGGAATAAGAGACTCTGATGTCAATAGACAGGAAGACAGAGGACATTTGTTGGACAGGTAAAAACTAGAATTACCAAAGTCAAAGGATATTATTTATTTTATTGGATCAGGTTTGTATAGAATTTGTAGAGAAAGATATTGTTTTGAATTTTTTCTTTTTAAAATAATGCATAGATTAAAAAATAATCTGGCAGAATTTATGGTATGTGAATTATATCTATCAAAACTTAAATTTATAGAGTCATTAATCTGGAGTATCTGTTATTTTCAGAGAATATGAAGCTACTGAAAGCTTGACCCAAGAAAAAGAAATGTGGAACCATCACACACATGAAAATGGCTATAATCCGCATTGTATTTTTTTATTTTTATTAAAAAATATAGGATTTGATTCTACCGTTCTTCTTGATTTTTTGATTTCATCAGAAACCTGTTTTCTTGAATATTTTGTTAGATACTTGAAATTATTGCAAAAAGACTGGGATAATTTTTTCACCATTTGCAACTATTTTGATGTAACTGAATCTAAAGATAACATACATATTTGTTGTTGTATCTCCTCACTTGTCCAAAATAGAAACAGCAACCCAACAGAAGCTAGTCCTTTGGCTGTTCTTGGTAGTCACACAAATGCTCATTCTTGGGTCTCCTGGGCCTCTGCTGCTTCTTCTGAACCACTGAACCATGGTGTAACGTTGGAGAAGGCCTGCACCAAGCCCCAGGCTAATTGTCTTTCTACCCCAGGAGCTTCTCAAAGTCTGGTAGATTATGACAGCTCTGATGATTCTGAAGAAGGATCCACAAGCCTGTGTTCAGTAAACAGTAGACTAACATCTTCACACCAAGAAGCAATGAAGAAAACTCAGGACACATTTGGAGCAAGTGGGGATAAAAAAGAACTTAGCCCAGAGTCTCAGTCAAGGCCTCTGGTTACTAAAGAATCTAATACCCCGTTCTCTGTTTATTGTGACGTAGCCCCAGATAACACTGCTTCTGAAGTGGGAATATCTTACAGAACAGTAAAGTGCTTTGAAGAGCTACAAGGTGCCATTTACCGTTTGCAGAAGAAAAATCTCTTCCCATATAATCCAACAGCACTTTTAAAGTTGTTAAAACATATTGAGACGATATATAATAAAAGTATGACCCCTTCGTATAACAGTGACATTTTATTTCCAGGAACTGTTTTTCCTTAGTAAAATTGTGCCTTAATGAGGTAACAGTATTAAAAATAATTAATAAACCTCAAAATAATTTCTAAACCATGCTTTTCTTTTGCCTTTTGGGAGCAGCCTAGTGACTGAAAAGGATACATCAAATAACAAGTCACTTGATACAGTTGCACAACATTTGAAATCTCTGGTAGTTCAAACTTCCTCAAATTTGGGATAGTTATTGTATTAATTTCTTATTGATACTGTAACAAATTCTCACAAACTTGGTGGCTTAAAAGAACAGAGATTTATTCTTTCTCAATTCTGGAGGCTGTAAGTTCAAAATCAAGGTGTCCGCAGGACTGCACTTTCTCTTAAGGCTCCAGGGGAGAATCTTTCCCTGCCTCTTTGTGTTTTCTGGCCATTGCTGTGAATCCTGGGTATTCCTTGACTTGTAGCTACATCACTTCAATCTCCTTCTCTGTTATCACATGTCGTTTTCCCTCTGTGTCTGTTGCTGCTGCTGCTGCTGCTAAGTCGCTTCAGTCGTGTCCGACTCTGCGACCCCATAGATGGCAGCCTACTAGGCTCCCCCATCCCTGGGGTTCTCCAGGCAAGAACACTGGAGTGGGTTGCCATTTCCTTCTCCATCCCTGTGTGTCTATCTGTATCCAGTTCCCCTCTTTTTAAGTATACCAGTCACTGGATTAGGGCCCAGTCTCATCCAGTATGACCTCTTGTTGTTGTTGTCTGTTGTTTAGTCACTAAGTCACATCCCATTCTTTGAGACCCCATGGACTGTAGCCCGCCAGGCTCCTCTGTCCATGGGGATTCTCCAGGAAGAATCCTGGAGTGGGTTGCCATTTCCTCCTCCAGGGAATCTTCCCAACCCAGGGATCAAAACAGCCTCCAGCATTACTAGGTGGAGCCTTTATCGCTGAGCCACCAGGAAAGACCCAGTATGAGTTCATCTTAGCTTAATTATATCAGCAGGGACCCTATCTGCAAATAAGGTTTCATTCACAGGTCTGGGTAGGTGTGAATTTTTGGGAGGGACACTGTATAAGCCAGTACCTTTATTATTTCCCTTTGAGGTGTTTACATGCAATGCGATATGTAAAAAACTTGAATCTTAGTGGTTTTTTAAAGAGAAGTGATTAGCTTCATGCGTGTGTGTGTGTATATATATATATATGTGTGTGTGTGTGTGTGTGTGTGTGTGTGTGTATGTGATCTATGAGAACACAAGTATATTCTGAAGATTTTTTAAAGGTACTTTAAAAAGAAATTCTTTCCTGTTTAAAATTGTTGTGATATGAATAATTCTGTCTTTTAGAGAGGAGGCAGTAAATTCAAGTTTTCATGTCATTACAAGCATGCCTCATTTTACTGTGCTTCACTTTGTATTTTGCAGATGCTGCGTTTTTTACAGGTTCAAGGTTTGTGGCAACCCTGTGTCATCCAAGTCTTTTGGTGCCATTTTTCCAAAAATATTTGCTCACTTTGTGACATTATTGTAATTGCAATATTTCACACCTTCTCATTATTATATTTGTTACAAATATAAAACTTCTAACAGATGAGGAGTTGCTGCTTATGGATGAGCAAAAAAAGTGGTTTCTTAAGATAAAATCTGCTCCCAGTGAAGATTCTCTTAAGATTGTTGAAATGACAACAAAAGATTTAAAAATATTTTATAAGCTTAGTTGATTAAGCAGTGGCTTTAACATCTTCAGCATCGCTGAAGGCTCAGAGATGGTTAGTATTTTTTTAGCAATAAATATTTCTTTATTACAGTATGTAGGCATAATGCCATTGCACACTTACTAGACTACAATATACTGTAAATGTAACTAGTTTATATGCACTGAGAAGCCAAAAACTCAGTGTGATTCCCCTTACAGTGATACTTGCTTTACTGTGAATTTGGAACTGAGTCCAGAGTATCTCCAAGGTCTGCCTGTGAGGAATTTGTATACTGAGAGTGTAACTGTATTCTGCTGATGAGTCTGTCCTTAAGGCAGTCTGAAATGTCATCCTTAAAACATTTTTAAATGATCCTTTTATAGATAAATATAAGGAGACTGAACCTACCAAACATTAAAATATAGTTTAGTGTTAGTCACTCAGTCCTATCTGACTCTTTGCAACCCCATGCTGTAGCCTGCCAGGCTTATCTCTCCATGGGATTCTCCAGGCAAGACTACTGGAGTGGTTTGCCATTTCCTCCTCCAGGGTGTCTTCCCAACCCAGGGACAGATCCAGGGTCTGTTGCAAACAGTTTCTTTACCATCTAAGCCACCAGGAAAGCCTAAAATATATTTTAAGGCTGTGTTAATAAAACAGATCAGTACTCATTCAGGTAGAAATAGAAAAACCAGTGGAACTAAATAGAGGATGGCTTAATCATTATAACAATGAGATGCTAATATTAACCAAAGAGAAATGCAGAGGTCAAAAAGTTTGGTAACAGAGTTGGGGGTATTCACTGGGGTGGCTTCTTCTATGTGAAAGAATGTATCTTCTGCTTATAAAAGCAAAAGACCAGAAATATCTGGCTAAATGTCAAAATATATATACTCATAGTATATGTGCTAAGTTATATATATATATACTTCTGGAAAGAATGGGCTATATTCATGTTTACAGAAATGAAACACCTACAATAAAAAACATAGAGCCTCATTTGTTTAAGGAAAGAAGGCAGGGAAGGAGTAATATACACACAGCATATTTATATATGCTTTTGTAACAATATGTAACAAAATTTTGTAAAATATGTAACAGCATATAAGAAAATACTAATAGCAGTTGCCCTGGGAAACAGATCTGGAGTAGAAAGCTTGACTTCTCATTGTATATCTTGTTTTACTCTTACTTTTTAACTGAATACCTTTTTTTTTTTTCATTAAAATTACTTTTTTTTAAAGAAAAACCTGATTCTTTATTGTTTCTAGGGGTACATAAATGCTAAATGCACTAAAAGCCATGCTTATATAGATGTGTTTTTTACCTGTGTTTCTGTATAAGATTAATAAGGAACTGTCAACCCTTTATTATGTGTAAAATAAGAAAAAGGCAATCTCATGTGTATGCTGAGTGTTGGGATTTCAGAGATGCCACATGTATAACTAACCTTTAGGTGTAAGTCAGTCTGTCCTACCCTCTCTGAAGCCCTAGTAATGGTGAAGATGACTGATGCTGGCAATGTGATAACTTTCCTGGCTGTTCAGAGTATCTAGAGCTGTCCTGAGTTAGTCCATAAGGGAAAACACAAAACTAGTGATACTCGCACAATGAGTTCCTAGTCTGTAACTCCACCTCTTCTCCAAGTAAATACATATGTATGTTCAAGTGAGCACCATTTATTTAAATTTATAAATCAATAAATTATGAATCTATTGTTTTAACTTAAAACAGATACAGCAAAATACATACATATATGACTTGAATTTTCACAAATAGCATGTTTATGAAACCAGTACCTGAATCAAGAAACAACATTACTGGCGCTCAGGAGTCCCCCTGGGTACCCTCTCTAGTCATACTCACTGGTAGTCTTTTATGTAAATGGATTATAGAGTATATGTTCTTTTATATATGGCTTCTTCAATGATATTTGGAAGCATGTTCTAATTTTTTAAATAATTGCCAAGTAGTTGCATTTCAACTGTTACTAGTAACAAAATACTTATAATTCCTTAAAATTGTATATGGCACTCCCAGTGTGCTAGGATGATGAAATTGATAGTGGTTGAAACAAAATAGAGACTGAAACAGGTTATACAGGACCTTGTGTAATTGGCCCCAACCTGTTTCTCTAGCCTCACCTGTGGTTCTCCCCCAACCCACTGTCTTAGGAACACCACCTTTTGCCTTATAAAGTTGTGAAACCCCATCTTTTTTCCTTTTGTTGTGGGTTTTTAAAATTTTATTTATTTTTTGGTTAAGCCCCATCTTAAATGTTGGACCTGTGAAAACTCCTCCTCCTGTTTTGAACCATTAGATCCTACGTGCTTTGTATTCTCTTCACTGTGTTCTTTCCTATATCATAGCATTTGTCGCATTATGTTTTAATAGTTTTTTAACAGCCTCCATTTGCCATGTTCTTTTTACATTGTCCCTTGTGAATGGCATCATGTCTGCCTCATTATAATAAACACAACCACAAGTGTTGAATAAATGAGAAGAGATCCTCTCCAAGGACTTGATAGTCTCCTGGGGCAGACAGGTGTGCAGAAACTTAAACTCTTAAGTTCATCAGTCACACTTTCCATATACCAGCTGCTGTCCCAAGTGCTCAGATTATCCTCATAATGATAGACAGGTGCTATTATGATCCCTGTTTTGCAGATGAGATTAACTTGGTAAGGTGGCAGAGTCAAGATAATGCATTTAGTCAGTCTAGTTCCGACCTCCTCTCTAACTGACCGATTGTCTTCAAGCAGGCATGATGCACTGTTAACATTAACGTTGCTGCTGCAAGTGTGGTGAGTGGTAGGAAGAGAAGCCCTGCTGGGAGGCCAGCTTAGGGCCAGTTCATTCATGACCTTGTGAGCTGTGCTAAGGAGTTGTGACTGTTCTGTGGGCAGTGGAGAGCCCATGTGGTTTTCAAGTCAGTGACTGGTTTTGTGTTTTAAGAAAGTGACTTAAATAGCAATATAGTACCAGTGGCTAGGCAGACAAGTAGAAAAGACTGGAAAGAGTCCTGGGAACATCCCGCTGGCGTCAGGGACAAGGAATGGAGGAGGAGGAGTAAAGCCTTCTTGCTGAATTCCAGCATCAGGCCCCTCCGTCCACACATTCATTAAAACTCGAATAAAGGAGCAGTGCGCCACGCAGGGACTGACTTACAGTCCAAGAAAGCCAAGGTGTTAGCCAGTCTTTGGCCTGAGGGACCCTAGACCCACCTGAGGACAGGATGCCACACTGCAGGGGGATTAATTAGGGACGTCTGAGTGTTGCCAGCCAACCTCCACCCCCACCATAACACTTTCCCCCAGAAAATTAGAGGAAATGTCCATGGAGTCTGACCAACCTAAGAGCAAAGTTCTAAAGATACAGTGTTGTTCAGTCACTAAGTCATATCCAACCCTTTGCAACCCCAT